CAGGGCTTGAAACCGATATTTGATACCGATTTTGAATACCAAACCGTAAACCGTTATACACCGAAATCGATACCGAAACCGAAAACAAAATCGAAAAAAACCAATACCGGTAATCAAAATCGATATAGGAAAAATTCAAAACTGGTATTCAAAACCAAAAACGAAACCAGAAAAAATAAATACTTATAAGTCCAAAACCGAAATCAAAAGCGGAAAAAATAAATACCGATAACTGAAACTGAAATCGAAATAGGAAAAAATATTTACGGTTTCAAGCCCTGGTAAAAGGACGTTTCGCCCCCGTCAAAAAAGCGAGTCTACGGACATTTCGTCAACGTCTATTATTAAGATAGGACATTTGGCTCCCGGGAGTTATGTGATGTCATTTACCTACCTATAGGACGTTTAGTCCCCCATATTTTAAATCACTACATTTAAATGGTTTTTTTTAATTTAATATTTCAATTATTTTTAAAAAAAGGTACAATTTCAATATTAGGTACTTATATAAATATGTGGGGATGGCCTACCAACAACTTGTAATGAAATTTTTTAGATTCCTGCTCTCAGCTAAACACTTGCATTTATAATTTGAATAGTGATGTTTAATTTATTCTCAGTTATTTCAACTTTTGTCTCCATGTGTTAAGTAATCGATAATTTTAGTCTTTCAATACTGGACTCTTAGTTCTTACCCTTTGGGGTTTTGCATATATTTATTTATATTATTATTAGGTATACCTAATTATTATTTATTATTAAAACTAATAACTTTTTTCAAAATATTATTTATAGGATTTTCCTAACATGTGAAATTACCAATTTTGTTTGAGTTGTTCGGCGACAAAGACGACGATGGAAACGACGATAATATAAACTCCCGGGGGCCAAATGTCCTACCTTAATAGTTAATAATAGACGGGGTCGAGACGTCCGCGATTCATTTTGAATATCAAACAACATTTTAGTTTGATATCACTTATTATTTGATTTCTTGGATGACTTTTAACGATTTTTATCGATTTTTATAATCAATTTGGGCATATACGTAAACTGCGCCCAAATTACCTCTTTTTTTGTAAACTGCGCCCGAATTCTTATCTTAGTTGAACAGGTATAGTGTAAAGTGCGCCCGAAATGTTATCTATGTTAAAAAGATATAATGTAAACTGCGCCCGACTAATAAACTTATTAAATTTTCACTCATCAAAGTCTCTATGTTTGACGATTGTGTACTTTTTCAAGCTTTTATACAACTCATCCAAATATTTTCATGTTCATAGAAAAGTTAAAAGAAATTCAAATAGATGGATACATTAAACTAAATAGTATAAATGGACCGTTTATATTCCAAAACTCTAAAACCAAAAAAAAAACGCGAAAAGTTAGAAAATGTAATTAATAAATATAATAGTAGTTAAATTCAAATTAACGAATAGCAGAATATGTATCCACCATATGTAAGTATTTGTAATATTTATAATTATTTTAATTTTTAAAATTATATTTAATTTTTAATTATTCAAATTATATGGCTGTAACGAATTAAGTATTTTACCTGTAATTTTACCCGGGCGCAGTTTACATGTCACCTTTTTACTCTTGATATTAACTCGGGCGCAGTTTACATGTGTGATTTTGTGTTTACCTGTATTTTGGTCGCAGTTTACAATCGCCGATCAATTTCAAGCCTCGGTATTTATACTTTATAGTGATCTTAAATCGTTAATCGGAATTTTTCCGAATTAGATATGGGCACTGAGCTGTAGGGCTGTAGATACTGTGTTCTGAAGCTTGTAATAATATTAGTAAATACCTAGCAATACTAGCTGTTGTAGCGTCAAGTCGCTGTTAAATGTGATAATATGACTGCAGACCTTGTTTAGTATAGAAGATAGAAATAATAAATTAGGAAATAATAAATAATGTTCTATAATTTGATTAGAACTTGAAAAAATTCAATTTTATTTATTGTCGTATATCATTGTTTTGTTCATAACTCCGATGGTCTGATATCTGATAACAAGCTGTTTTTGGTTTTTTTTTGTAAGCTGAAGTTTTGATACATTATTAGTAAATGCCGAAAATGTATAAGGGTGTTCATTTTAAAATCGGGGATTCTAATACCCTTTAAGCCCTCCTCCCTAATTACCCCTATGCGACATGAGTTGGGATAAAAATAAATATACCAATAATAATAATAATAATACATATATGAATAGATATATTATAATAAAATATAAATACTGTAACAGGTCCCTTTTAAGTTTTGACACGATTATTTTTGTCCGTAGAATTTGAATGTACGAGTACCTATATTATAGTATAATAAATGTTTTTTTTTCTTTGATTGGTTTTCGTATAATGTAATATTATAATATTATGTTGTACACTACGCAGTAATACTCAAGAAGAAATTTTTTCTTCCACAACCACCATTTACAGTTTACACATACATCGTATTTTTCGATTCTATGTAAAAGGTCCGGTGGTGCGCACGCACCCTGCAAAGCCACACCACACAAACCATGTTTTAAATGCATCAACCCCTCTCTGACTTGTCTGCATTCTTTCGGCCGGATAACTGATAATGGTCTCTTAAACCGTGGTTTGGTCACCACATTTTCGTTATGAAGTTTTATACCGAGTTAACCTGTTGAACGTTTAGCAGGCCACACGTTAAGCGTACAGCGGTCAGTCTCCTCTACTGTTGTTGAAGTATACAGGGTGTTCCACTGTCACATGCAATTTGGAACACCCGGTATACCACGTATATAGTCTATATTATTATAAATTACTGCGTGTAGAATAGGTAAATGTTTTGTTTCATTATTTTCATTCCATCCCGGTAGTTATAAAAAACTGAAAATGTCAAACTATGTAATAAAATTCTTTTTTTCATTATTATTAATTATTATAGATCTAATAGGATATAGATATCGGTTGATTTTTACAATTGTCGGGGTAACGCTGTTCACAAACGCTTTGATGCCATACAAAACTACAATCAATAAAACTATAAAGGCAAGTAAAGTCTTACATTATAATGTAATATTAAAATATTATATAAAATATACATTGCTTTAATTAGGTACTAACATCCCATAAATGATTAATTCATCTAAATTATTTTTCGGTTACTATAATATGTTTGCGTTTCTCGTCACAGTAGTTGACCCCACTACCACAGTATCTATGTACACGCGACAGTATTCGAACGATTTTAAGTTACATAACCTACTTAGTATCTTATTTTATTTTTTTATTAATTATCCCGTGGCAACTTGGGCCATTGGGTGGTTTTTAACCTTGGGGGAGGTTACTGTAGGTTTTGTAAACACGTGTGTTTTAGTTTAGCAGAATTTTCAAGTGGGCATCCGCAGGTATCTGCCACGCCCGAGGAGGGGGGGGAATAGCGGCCTCTCTCCGGACACCGTGCCTGCCCGGAGAGAAGGCCGCCCGTGACCGAGATTCGAAACCGCGACGTTGCACGTCGTAATCGACGCCTTAGTCCGCTCGGCCACTCCCCCCTACTAAATGTGGTATAATGTATTATTGTATTAATGGAATAATGTGTATTGAACTATTGTGTAGTGTAGGGTGATCACCAGATGACCAATCTACATTTTATTATTAAAATTATTTTAGAAACTTAATGATGGTAACAATATTTATTTTTTTTTTCACAAAGCATTAAACTGCAATAATTGTTTTTCACAAAATATATCTGTGCCAAATACGTACGAACTTGAAATTTGGAATAGTGGTTTCTCTAATGATTTATAATATTATGTGTGATAAGAATTAATTTTCCGAAATTCGCATTTTACATTGGTCCTTAAACAAAGATTTTAAGATTCACCATGTAAATCTAATATTTTTTTGTTTATTTAAATTATTTTAAGCCATTGCAGGTGACTAATATTAATAATAGGCTTCTTCAACGATATATTTCTAAATATCGATATCGTTTTGTTTTGCGAGGCATTGAATCTCGATATCGAAAAAAAATTTAGGTACTTCTCGATATATCGATATTCCGAATTATCGATAACTCGAACAAATTGTTTTTAAAATATAGGTATTAGCATTGATTATAAATACTATAGATAGCTCACTGCAGTACATAATACGCTGCGCCGTAATTACTCCCAATAGAGAGCGCTAAGGTATTCGGCCTATAATAAAATAAAATAATTATTTCTAATCGCCGTAATCGTCGCCGACCGTTGCCGCGGAAAACCGTTGTCGTGCGTCGTCGTCAAACATCGTCGGCGGCGGCGTCGCAGACCACAGTAGCCAGTAGTTCAGCGATTGCATTTACGGACGTCGTCGCCTCTGGCGGCTAAGAATCAGAATACAAACCGTTCAGCGACGAGTTCAGACCAGAAATTTGTTCATATAAAAAACTTTTACATGAAATTCGATTACCTACTCGCTTGTGAACATTTAAAATACTTTTGAAATACCTCGAAACTAATAACACAAAAGTCATAACAGAATGAATAAACATAAACTAGAAGGATTTCTTAAACCTTGACTAAAATATTTTCATCAACATATTCAAAAATCAAGTGTTTAAAAAATAAAAAAAATTAATTAGACTCATTCAAATGTTTTTTGATTTTACGACTAATGCAATTTGTACACTGGAAATAATAAATACATCATTACCCTGCAAAATAAATATTTTTTTTACTGTTATTGACTTATATTACCACTGTGACACCGTACTTACGCCTGTGACCAGTGACTAAGCGTATTTTACAATTTATTGTTTTATTAAAATTTAACTTCTAATAAAATTCGAGCAAAATATTATATTTTTTTCATAATAAAAATACAAAAAGAATTGTAAATTAACAAAACAATTGAGTTTATCTTCAACTTTATTTACCTATTATTTCAAATCTGTTTATGTAACAATATTATAATAAATTACTTATTTTGTACACTGCATACATAACAAAACATTAATTACAAAATTATAATTTACCTATTTATTTATTTTCAAATATTCGCAATTTGGCGGCATTTTGATAACCTCGCTTTCCAAGGTTTGCATTAATCCACTTACATTCCTTATAAATGCGTGTCCTAAACAGCAGCTGTAAAATAAATTCATAGTGATCTTTACACGAATTTTGTAAAACCAAAAAATGATTATTTATTTGTCTTTCGGCTTTATGCAAAAGTTGTTTTAAAATTTGCTTTGAGCTCTTAATTTTAGGAAATGTATTTTTAAATATATTTAAACATATTGTCACTATTTGTGTTAGCTCATCAGATGGAGCTTTTAAGCCTTGTGATTGTTGCACATGATCGAACACCTTGTGTATAATTAAAAGTTCTTTTTTGTCAGCTAAGTGTTCATTTGGTTTGATTAAATTACAGTTGGCACAATTAAATTTATCAAAACATTTTTTTGCTAAATAACCAGAAAAATAAGTTATTGAACACGTCTCCAGTGATAAGTCAACCTCATAAATACCTTCATTTGACTTTGAACTATTGTCAGAATCGGTTGTTTCGTGAACATAATTTTCATTTGACAATTCACCGTTTTCTGATAAAATTAAGTTTTCTACAGGAACATCCTTCAAAACTTCAACAGTTATAAATTCATCGTCATCCGATTCACAATTATTACAACATGTTGTCAAACATTTCATCAAACTATATGTACATATATGCCCAAAACAACAGCGAAACGTGCGGGCTGTGGGGTTTCTGTTGTAGCCATTTTTTTGTCGTATCACTGAAAATAGATTTTCTAATATATCTTGCGTTAGTCGATTTGTCATTAAAAAATTGTCTTTATTTGGCCGATAGATTTGCATGTCTACTTTTTCTTGTTCGTATAATTCTAAAATAGCAGTTGTCGTCCAAATTATTCCAATAAAACAAGGGGGCGTACTGATTTTTTTTGTCTTATGGCATACTTTTACCGCTTCTTTAAATAAAGCTTGTGCTTTTTTCAAGTTCTCGAACACTATTGAATTTTTAGGACTTAAAGGTCTTCTGTTTGGATTTCGGTCATATAAATTTTTGCTGTTTGCCGAATCAAACATATTATTTATGACATTAATAAATTCTGAAGTATGTAGTGCTGTATTCGATTTTAGTTGCCCAGTAGCCACACATGTTTTTATAGCTGCAGATACAGAATTACTCAAGAGTTGGATTGCTAACTTGCAGGACATTTTTTGAAAAGGGTTAGGAGATAGATGAGTTGGTGTTATTTTGGTCATAGCTCTTGCTGTTTTACTTTGGCTGTCAATTTCATACGTTTTTTTAATATCATTTATAGACACAACTTTATTACCAATTTTAAAATCACCAGATAGTAGATTATTTCTTAAACTCTTGATAAGATGTGGCATATCGTAAATAAGAAATAATTTCTTGCCACATATTTCAGTTGAAGGATTATTTTGAGATGCACCTAGCAACGAAAACATCCGACGATTTTGTGTCCCTTGGTCACATACAATGCAAGTTGGCAATAAACCAATATCCACAATTTTTTTGACGCAATTTTTAACAATTTCGACTAAAGTATCACCTTTAACTCCACTGCCAGTAAAAAAATATGATAAAGGCAATTTCCAATTTTTGTAAAGACCACGAACCATAATTACTAACGCGTGAGAACCAAGTTTTTCAGTACGTCCCATATCACCTAAATCCTCAAACCCTTCTATTTCATCCAAAATCTTGTTATATTCTAAAGTTTTCATTATAGAAACTTCATCTAATAGAAGAACACATTTCTTTTCATTATAATCCATATTTAAAACTTTTAACCTCATTTGCTCTAAATATTTGGCCGAAAATCCAGTGGAATAGTTAATTGACCGTAGCCAACGTGTCACTGTACTCATAGCCGGCAATACAATTCCAGTCCTTCGCATGTATTTATAAGTCGAAGGTGACTTATAATATAAAGATAGTGCAACTTTTTTTTCATTAGCTGACCAAGGTTTACGATTTTTGTGTAACAATTGCATTGATACTAAACTTCTTGAGTTTTTAGATGGAAAATTAAATGTTTTAAATAAATCATTCACATTAGATTTCTGCTTTTTGTTTGTTTTTTTCTGTTTTAATGCCGAAATAATAGAACGTTTTCTTTTTAAAAGTTTTCGAATCCCAATTAACTCTTGTTGAAGTGCGCTTTTTTTGGGGCTTTTTATTCGTCTCATTTTTGGCATAGGACTGGGAAAATCGATTAGTGCTGAGACCCAAGATTTAGTTGTAGGTGTAGCTATTGAACTCGATGATGGACTGTTTTCAAAAATTAGTGAACCAGGTGCTCGAATATTTGAACAAGAATCAGAAACTTCATATTTACGATTTGGTGTCATTACTTTCAACGTTTTTGGTGAAGGTGTTAACCCTTAAACAAAATGATTTACAAATTAAAAATATATACAAGAAATATTACCCAAAACTTTGTAATAATTCTTCCAAAATTAAACCAAACGCTTTAAATTTTTTCCACAACATTTAGTTGAAAAAGGTGGGCAAGTGGATGTCGCTTTGCTGTACAATAGGTTACTGAAATGGAAGGTACTAAATTTGAATTCAATAATATAATAATTATTGTATACGAAAAAATATTCTGAGCGAAGACGGTATGTCAGCTTATAATATTACTATTAATAGGTAGACATAATATTTTATGATATTAAATTTTTCGTTTTCCCAAAAAGAATTACATTTGAAAAAGTCATTGTTTTTATAAAATATATAAATAAATAAATACTCTAACATTTTCATATATGTTTTAAATTTTCAACCCTTAATTAAGAGACCCTTAAGGGCGTCATGCGTTTGGGCGAATTACCTTTTTACCCACACAATAAAAGTAATGTGTTTGGGCGAGTTTCGTATAAGCTAGTATGATACAATGTAAAAGATAAAGTTATAAGTTTGTAATGATTAAGAGAAAAAAAAAGGTGGGTAAGTGGATGTCGCTCTGCTGTACAGTAGGTTACAAGTGGGTCACTGTATAATGGATGCTATTAAATTTGAATTCAATGATACAATATCATTGTATAAGAAAAACGATTCTGAGCGAAGACGGTATGTCAGTCTAGGTTTAAGACAAATTGTATACTTATCTATGGCATTAACAAAAAAATTGACCTATAATAAATTCCAAATTAATCATATCACATTATCCATTAGGTACTTATAACACGTTATACATCAACATCAATAACAAACCCTGATACTATCATAGATATATAATAGTACACTTTAGAAGTTTCAAGTAGGTACCCACTAATATTATTATATAATCACAACAAAATAACTAGGTTTTTTAATATGTAATTTCGTCAAAATTTGAACATAAAATGACTATAAAAATAAACTATAATTGTATATTTTTTAGATTTTTCGGTAAGAGAATTAACTACTTACGTGGAATCTTGTTTTAAATTTTCAATCCTTAGCTATAAAAACTGAACATTTTATAATTTATTAATTAGGTACGATGATTAATAATTTTCGAGATTTTGAAAAATTCTGTCAAAATTCGATGTTTAAATGCTTATAAAAAAAAATTGTGCCTATGTATTTTTAATATTTTTCAACTGATATTGTAACAATATATCAGGAGCCTTGTATTAAATTTTTACACTTTTTGGCCGAACAGATAAAATTTTATTGATATTCATAGAAAAAAAAACTAAAAAATTTGAAAAATGAAAATTTCCGTAAACTGCTCAAAAAACTTTAAAATATTTTGAACATTTTATCAAGTATAAGAATTGATAATATAAACATTCAGTGAAATTTTCATGTATCTACAATTATTCGTTTTTGAAGTACAACAAAATAAGGAAATCGCTACATGAGAAATCGAGTGAACATCCAATGTTGTAAAAATTTGAATTTCAAACGATCATAAAAATTTAATTTGACTGTCCGGTAGAGATTTTTTTATTGATAAAGGTAGACAAACTTATGAGTAATCTTGTATTACATTTTCAAATATTAGATTTAAAAAGAAAAATTTTTACGAATTCTTAACTCAAAATAATTTGCTAATTTTCGTGATTTTTCCATATTTTGTCAATTTTTGAACTTTAAATGCTTATAAAAAAAAACTGTGACTAACGATTTTTAATATTTTTCATCTGCCTTTGAAACGATATACTAGGAGCCTCCTATTAAATTTTCAAGTTTTTTAACCAACAAATAAAATTATATTGTAATTTCTAGAAAAAAAACTAAAAAAAAATGAAAAATGAAAATGTCCCTAAACAGTTCAAAATAAATCAAAATATTTAAAAAATGTTATCGTGTAAAGAAAAGGCAAATATAAACAACCAGTCAAAATTTCATGTTCCTACAGTCATTTGTTTTAAAGTTACACCAAAAACCAAATTCGATTTTGTCAAAAACCGATTTTGCATATAAAAATTCCCGTTTTTCCTTAATTTTTCTGTTGTTGTTCCCGGCGTTTGTGAAAACTATTGGGAATTTTAAATTTTGACCTCCCCAATACACCAACGATATTCACTTTCCAATCGAACAAGATACTGAAGTCGAAAATCGAAGCATTATTTCGACTACTTATCGTGTACACAGACACAAAAAAAATAAAAAAAAAAACACACATCATTGTGAAATCAATACATTCATCGTTTCACTCAGAATCTAAAAAGTGCTCTGCTGTACAGTAGGTTACAAGTGGGTCACTGTATAATTTATGGTATTAAATTTGAATTCAATGATATAATATCATTGTATGAGAAAAACGATTCTGAGCGGAGACGGTATGTCAGTCTAGGTATAAGACATATTATTATATACTTATCTATGGTATTAAAAAGAATTGACCTATAATAGGTACCTACAATAAATGTCAAACATTGTATTAAATTTTTACACTTTTTGGCCAAACAGATAAAACTTTGATATTTACAAAATTGTATGGTGTATAGCAGTGGTCGGCAACCTTTTTAGACTCCCGGGCCACATTCATAAATTAAAAAGAGTTCGCGGGCCAGACAAAAATAATAAGTTATTTCAAACTTATCATTAATTCCTCGAATGAATACAATTAACTGTGCAGAGTCAACGATATCTGTACTTTCATCAAGTGCTAACGAAAAATATTGAAATGTTTTCGTTTTTTTTATCAGTTGATTTAATAAATTGTCACCAACATCTTCAATACGTCTTGTTATTGTACGAGCAGATAAGGGGACTTCTTCAAACTTATGTACAATATCTGGACAAATATTACCGGCCATGCTTAGTACACATTTTTTGACAAATTCTGCGTCTGTAAATGGTTTTCCCTCTTTCGCAATTAACATAGCTACATTCACACTAGCAGAAATTATGGCTTTATTTTGAGTAGTTATTTTTGAAAAGATCGTTTGTTCTCCGGTTAGAGCTTTTTGTAGTTTATTAACTTCAATTTCTCTTAACTGTCCGTATAAGGAGTCATATTTAACTTTATGCTTGGATTCATAATGCCGTTTAATATTGTATTCTTTCAATACAGAAATTAATTCACGACAAACAAGGCACATGACTTTTCCTTTATTTTCAATAACAAAGTATTGATTGATCCATTTATGTTGGAATACACGACATTCAGAATCTATTTTTCTTTTTTTACTGACATTCATTTTAACTAGTTTAAAATTTAAATTAACAGCCAAATAAACGATTACTAATATAAGACATAAAATATAAATTAAAATGTTATAAAAATTACTCACGACGCAAACCGCACATACCCGTATGAAAAACGCAATGTTACTGAGCAGTGAGCACAATCGAAAATTAAGATTATAACCCAAATACACTCGTCGTATCTACTCTATCTTATCGGTAACTGTCAAAGTGTCAAGGTATATCCACTATTATAAAATATGACTGATAGAAACGTTCAACTATATTTATACAATATGATTTTTTTTGATATAATATTCAATTAAATTTCGTTGTTATAGAATTTAAAGCGGGCCGTATTTAATAGACTCGCGGGCCGGATGCGGCCCGCGGGCCGCCGGTTGCCGACCACTGGTGTGTAGGAAATTCTAATATAAATATTCAGTGAAATTTTCATGTATCTACAGTTATTCGTTTTTGAATTACAACAAAATAAGGAAATCGCTACATGAGAAATCGAGTGAATATACAATGTTGTAAACATTTGAATTTCAAACGCTAAAGGGTTCAAACCCTAAAAAGGTGAGCAAGTGGGTGTCGCTCTACTGTACAGTAGGTTACAAGTGGGTCACTGTATAAATGGATGATATTAAATTTGAATTCAACGATATAATATCATTGTATAAGAAAAACGATTCTGAGCGGAGACGGTATGTCAGTCTAGGTATAAAACACATTATATACATATCTATGGTATTAAACAAAATAAATTGACCTATAATAAGTACCTTTAATAAATTCCAAATTAATCATATCACAATATCCATTAGGTACAGAGGTACTTATAACGCGTTATACACCAATAACAAACCCTGATACTATCATAGATATATAGTAGTATACCTATACAATAGAAGTACCCACGAAAAATATTATACAATCACAACAAAATAACTAAAATAGTTATTCTAGGTTTTTTATTATGTAATTTCATCCAAATTTGAATTTAAAATGTCTGTAAAAAATAACTGTGTTCATATATTTTTTAGATTTTTTGGTTATAGTACGAACTATTTGTGAGAACCTTTGTTTTAAATTTGCAATCCTTAGCTATGAAAACTGAACATTTTATAATTTATCTATTACAATGATTGATAATTTTCGAGATTTTGATAAATGTTGTCAAAATTCGATCTTTAAATGCTTATAAAAAAAATTGTGCATATGTATTTTAAATTTCAATTGCTATTATAACAATATATCAGGAGCCTTGTATTAAATTTTTACACTTTTTGGCCTAACAGATAAAACTTTATTGATATTTATAGAAAAAAAATTAAAAAAATTGAAAACTGAAAATGTCCGTACACAGCTCAAAAAAGTCAATATATTTTCAAAATTGTACAGTGTATAGAAAACGCTAATATGAACATTCAGTGAAATTTTCATGTATCTACAGTTATTCGTTTTCGAATTACAACAAAATAAGGAAATCGCTACATGAGAAATCGAGTGAATATCCAATGTTGTAAAAATTTGAATTTCAAACGCTCATAAAAATTTAATTTGACTTTCTTATAGATATTTTTGTTTTGATAAAGGTAGATAATCTTATAAGGAATCGTGTATTACATTTTAAAATGTTAGATTTAAAAAGAAAAATTTTTACGAATTCTTAACTCAAAATAATTTGTTAATTTTCGTGATTTTTCCATATTTTGTCAATTTTTGTACTTTAAATGCTTATAAAAAAAAACTGTGACTAACGATTTTTAATATTTTTCATCTGCCTTTGAAACAATATACTAGGAGCCTTCTATTAAATTTTCAAGTTTTTTTAACCCACAAACAAAATTTTATTGATATTTCTAGAAAAAAAACTAAAAAAAAAATGAAAAATGAAAATGTCCCTAAACAGTTCAAAATAATTCAAAATATTTTGAAAATGTTATTGTGTATAGAAAATGCAAATATAAACAACCAGTGAAAATTTCATGTATTTACGGTCATTTGTTTTAAAGTTACACCAAAAACCAAATTTAATTTTCTGAAAAATCGATTTTGCGTAAAAATTCCCGTTTTTCCTTAATTTTTCTTTTGTTTTTCTTGGCACTTTTGAAAAGTACTGGGAATTTGAAATTTTGACCTTACAATGCATCAACGATATTCACTTTCCAATCGAACAAGATACTAAAGTCGAAAATCGAAGCATTATTTCGACTACTTATCGTGTACACAGACACAAAAATAAAAAATAAAAAATAAAAAAAAAAATATAAAAACACACATGATTGTAAAATCAAAACATTCATCTTTCCACTCAGAACCTAAAATAAAAATCCGAGTAAATGTATTGCACATTTGCACACTAAAATCATAGTAGGCATAAGGAAGAAGAAGTATGCTCAATGATAAGACTGTGCATATTTTTTTAAGGGGCAATAATATATAGTTTATGTATTCAATTTTATTCTTATACAGTGCAGTATGCACAAAAACTCAAGGTGATGTACATGCAAGAATTAGAAAAAACACGGTCCGTACTTAACTAAATTTTATTTGTCGGGTCAAAAAGCGGGAAAATGTATTACAAGGCTCCCAATATACTTTTACAATAGCAGTCGAAAAATATTAAAATTACATTTGCCCTAATTTGTTTATAAATATTTTAAGTTCAAAAATTAACAGTAAAATGTATCAATCTTAAAATTAAAAAATGCTTTTGTAGTTAAAAATATATAAGATATTCAACTTTAATAGCTCAGGACTGGAAATTTAAAACAAGATAATATGTAAATAGTTAAATTAATTTATTTTTTCGTAACAATATCATTAAATATACTTAGAAATAAAATATCATAGGCTGACTGACCGTTTTCGCTCGGAACCGTTTCTCGTATATACAAAACGCGAAGGGGGTACGCAGTGGAATGGAGTACACCAACTAATTTTTCAAAAATTTTAAGGGCACAGGACGCTTCACCATTCTGAAATTTTATCAAAATGCGTGAGATGGTAACCTAACCTAACCTTTATAAATTAACAAATTATTTCATAACCGCGAACCAATAAATTATTTAATATTAACTAATTATAAGTAAACTATTATTACTTTAATCATTATTCTTTTGAGATATTTATTATTTATAACTATAATATATTTTATTATTATTTTATTTAATTAGAATAAACGCCAAACAGCTTTTTGAACAATATAAATAAAGTTATAAAAACTATACTCCTTTTCAAAAGAGAACATATACCGGTCGGCGACCAATTTATTAATTACCAATGATTAAAAAGGTACTCTGCTGTACAGTAGGTTACAAGTGGGTCACTGTATAATGGATGGTATTAAATTTGAATTCAATGATATATAATCATTGTATAAGAAAAACGATTCTGAGCGGAGACGGTATGTCAGTCTAGGTATAAGACATATTATATACGTATCCATGGTATTAAAAAAAATTGACCTATATTAAATTCCAAATTAATCATATCACATTATCCAATAGGTACTTATAACCAGTTATACATCAACAACAAACCCTGATACTATCATAGATATATAATAGTGTATAGTGTACTTTAGAAGTTTCAAGTACCCACGAATAATATTATACAATCACAACAAAATAACTAAAATAGTTATTCTAGGTTTATTTTTTATGTAATTTCATCCAAATTTGTACTTAAAATGACTATAACAATAAACTGTGCTTTATGTTTTTTTTTAGATTTTTTGGTAACAGAATTAACTACTTACGTGGAATCTTGTTATACATTTTCAATCCTTAGACATAAAAGTTGAATATTTTATAATTTTTTAACTCCAAAATAATTATTCAATTTTAAATTTGATAAATTTTGTCAAAATTCCATCTTAAAATGACTGTAAAAAAAATTGTGAATAAGTATTTTTAATATATTTCAACTGATATTGCAACAATATATCAGGAGCCTTGTATTAAATTTTTACACTTTTTGGCAAAACAGATAATACTTTAGTGATATTTATAGAAAAAAAAACTAAAGAAAATTGAAAGCGGTAAATGTCCGTAAATAGCTCAAAAAGAGTCAAAATATTTTCAAAATTGTATGGTTTATAGGAAATGCTAATTTAAATATTCAGTGAATTTTTTATGTATCTACAGTAATTCGTTTTTGAATTACAACAAAATAAAGAAATCGCTACATGAGAAATCGAGTGAATATCCTATGTTGTAAAAATTTGAATTTCAAACGCTCATAAAAATTTAATTTGACTTTCTTATAGATATTTTTTTTTTTGATAAAGGTAGATAATCTTATAAGGAATCTTGTATTCAATTTTAAAATCTTAGATTTAAAAAGAAAAATTTTTACGAATTCTTAACTCAAAATAATTAACTAATTTTCATGATTTTTCCATATTTCGTCAATTTTTGAACTTTAAATGTTTATAAAAAAAAACTGTGACTAACGATTTTTAATATTTTTCATCTGCCTTTGAAAAAATAAACTAGAAGCCTTTTATTAAATTTTCAAGCTTTCTCAACCAACAAATAAAATTTCATTGATATTTTAAATAAAAAACTAAAAAAAAATTTAAAATGAAAATGTCATTAAACAGTTCAAAATAAATCAAAATATTTTGAAAGTGTTATCTTGTATAGAAAATGCAAATATAAACAACCAGTTAAAATTTCATGTATCTATGGTCATTTTTTTTAAAGTTACATCAAAAACCAAATTCAATTTTGTGAAAAATCGATTTTGCGTAAAAATTCCAGTTTTTCCTTAATTTTTCTTTTTTTTTCTTGGCGCTTTTGAAAATTACTGGGAATTTAAAATGTTGACCTGTCTAATGCAACAACGATATTCAATTTCCAATCTAACAAGATACTGAAGTGGAAAATCGAAACATTATTTCGACTACTTATCGTGTACCTACACAGACATCAAAATTAATAAATAAAAAATTTAAAAAAAAACACTCATCATTCTAAAATCAATACATTCATCGTTTCAC